AAAATAGAAAGGGTTTGCTGTTTGGATTTGCTCCTGCCTCCGAGCTCAGTGACCGTCGGGTCGCTGGTTTCTGCGGGTTTCCAAGGTGGCTTTGAGACCTGGGGCAGCCTCTGACCCCCACGGGCGCGATGCGCAGGTCTCGTCTCGCATTCCTGGCTCAGACAAACTGGCTTGCAAGTCAAGGCGAGTTTTAGCTCTGTGAGTGCAGAAAGGGGATCTCCCTCCTTTCTCTCTGCAGCAGATAGGCGTTAAGTACTGTTTGTGCTTTGATATTTCCACTTTCCTCAGAGAAAAGAGGGTAGGTGTTATGCTTTTGTAAGAGAGAAAAACAGAGAAGAGGAAAGAAAAATGAAAGATATGAAAAAGAGAGAAGAAAGATAAAATTGAGAAAGGGTCGGGGGTGAGAGAAAGAGAAAGAAGAAAGCTAGAGCAATAAGGGGGGAAAGGAGGGGAAATTATAGAGAAAAATACACAGACATAAAGAAGGAAAGAAAGAGAAGAAAGACCAGAAAAGAAGAAGCTCAAATAAAGCAGTTCTCCATCTCATTTCCAATAAAACATCCCTTCTGCGTGCAGGGAACAGCACTCGCGAGAAGTGCCTCCCCCCCTGTCTCCAAGTGCAGCGGTGCGACCCGCGATCACCCGCGACCCGCTCGCCTAGGCTGACCGAGGCCGAGATGGATGGGATGGGGCAGACAAGGCTATGGGCCAACAGGGCTGGGGTTCTTGTTTTGGGGTGCCGAGGCAGCAGGAAATGAAACAGGCCCTTTATTTATTAACGTTGGGTGTCATGCTGGGGGAGGAGAGGAAGAGGGAGAGGAGGGTATCCCAAGAAGAAGCACGTGAAGGAAGAGATGTCCAACTGCAAGTTAACACAAGCAGGAGGTAAAGCAGCCCAGAACTTGCTCCTACGGCTCAGCATTTTCTATTCTTGTCCCCCCGCTAGTGACAGATGATGTTGAGCAGTTTTCCACCCTGATATTTAATAGGGATTTGTTCTAGATTCTAGGAATCCGTTCTAGGTTCAGGAATACCTGTTTAGATGATATATACCTATTATCCATGATCACTAGATAGAATTTCCAGGAAGGATCTCAAATTTTTTTTTCTTTTTTGTTGTTTGTTTTAGTAGTCCAAAAGTTGAACCGGTATCTACATACATAGCTGGGCAAAGATGTTTCTCTTTGCTTTAGCTGATGCATGTATGATCAAATCCTTGCAATGAGAGAATGGGCTGGTCTGAGGAGAAGGAGACAGGGA